GACTCGATCATAGTATTAAGCTGTGCTTCTGGGTATACATCGTCTAGATTCTGGGTTCCCAACAGATGAACTAGTCGTGTTGCGCCTTGTCCAACAACTCCTTCAATATTTTTGCCGTGCTCCTCATACCCTGCAACGCGTTCTCATCCGGCCCTTGCCCTGGTGTCCACGTCGCATGTGCAAAGTCAATCATCTTGACTTCGGCCAGCTTGGGCACAGTCTCCTCATCGTCCTCATCCTCGTCTTCGGGATGCGCGGAACGTAGCTTCTGCTTGGTGTTCGCATACTCGTCTACATCACCCTCATAGACCAATAGTATGCTTGCGCTGTACATCCTGCTCTCTTTGCTTTCGAAGACTTCTTGAATGTCCTTCACCTCACCCAAAAAGTAAGCGAGCACCTCCCTCGCCCGGTCAAGCTCTGCTTCTGACTTGGCGCCGGGAAAGATGTAGTCTGTGAAGCCCGCGCTGACATCATCGGCGCTAAATTTGCGTCCATACATCTTGTTGTACACCCAATAGCCGCCCTCCTTATCCGTCTCAACATACTCCTTGAGATCTTCCGGAACCTCAGGTACCTCAGCTCCCTTGTATGTGCGCATGCCTGCTATCCGGAAACCCAGGCTTCCGCTTGTAGTCTCTTTGCTCACAGCATCTAGCCGCGCTCTCTTTTCCGGCTTCGCAGCCTCGTCCCACAATTGCGCGCCAAGCTTCAGATCCAGAACATTCGGCTTCTTGAAGCTGTGTGTAATGTTCTCTAGTACGATGTGAAGATCGGTCGCGAGCTTCTTGCCATGTAGGCGCTCAATTGTGCCGTCGGCTGTTTGTATGGTGCCGCTTTCGACGGACTCGGTAGCGGCGGTCTGGTCGGCTGAGAGGGAGAGCTGGCCCATGAAGGTGGGGAGATGGCGCGCGAGGTCTGGGTGGTCGGCGAGGGATTCGTAGAAGTCAATTTCAGCGAGGGTGCATGGTTTTACTACTACGCCGCCGGATGGGTCGCTGAGCACGCCGTCGCTGTTGTTGTGTTAGTCTGGTACACGAGGCTGACAGGCAGCCGGTAGCGACTTACTGGCCAGCGGCAGCACTGCCATATGCCACGAGTTTCGACGCGTCGTATTGTTTCGAGGCCATGTTTCTTGGACTGTACGGAGCGTTTGGTCGGGATATCAATGTAATGGCACTCGTGGTTGGTGTTTAGGTGGAAGATACATGGTGGGCTGGCTGGCCCCACGGGCGTTTCAGGGTCCTCCGTCACGAGTCAGCCAATGCTGTCATCATGAAATCCATGATTCGTGTGTTTGATATCATCTAGTCACTCTATTGCCGGGCAGAATCTGAAATTATATGGCAGACATGGTCTCACTCAAATTTCGTAGCAGCATGCCCGGAGAAAGGTCGCATGCGTTGCAATGATTAACTCGACTTCTCACCGTGGTGCTGCATCCATCAAATCGCTGGTGATGCACTCACCGTATAAGGCGTTTGTATGAGCGGAATGTCCAGAATGCGAAGCTGCGACCACCAACACGAGGTAGTCGCGCTCTCTCACCCCCAGGGCCAACGCAATCACCCGCGAAGCATCGTTTGCCGCTGCCTCACTAGCGCGCCGACATCCCATGCCCAATCCTCTCTATATCACCCTCTACAACTTCAAGTCTCTTCCAGTTCGCTTCTGATATCCCCAATCCTCAATACACAGAGTAGCAGACATGGCAACCGCAATGACAACACTTTCTGCGCACGCAGGACCTCCCAACGGAGCCTCTACCAACATCACTGCCACTTCTCAAGTCACCGGCACTGTGCTGGACCACCCAGATGGGGCAGAGATCCGTCGTCAAGTACGTTTCCCAGTCCCCAGTCTCGCGGTAAGTTTTACAGAGGAACTAATTGTTCTTCAAGGTGGAGTTCTATTTTTCCGATGAAAATCTCCCTACCGACAAGCACATGTTACAGTGCTGTGGCGGGCGTGAGAACATCCCCGTCTCCGTCAGTCGCATCTGTGGTTTTCAAAAGATGCGAAAATACAAGCCCAAGTCCCTCGTTTCTGCAGCTCTTCGACTGAGCGCCTTCTTGGAAGTCTCTGCTGACGGAAAGACCATCAAGCGCAAGGTTCCTCTAACCGGGAAGTGCATTCTGGATCCAGATTACTTCGATGCCGACGACGATAACGACATCGCCTATGCCCCAGGATCACGGAAGGCCAAAGCTCAGCAGCCCGCCCAGTACCCAGTACCACTACTCCCTCAGGCCAAGATCAAGCACCCTGAAGGAGTGTCCAAGAACATGCTGAAGGCTACCGGATTTGAAAAGGCGTACATGGAGCCTACTCTCACTCCTGACGAAGCCGCCGAGGAAGAGGAAATGTACGCTCCAGACAAGTCGTTCGTTGAGCGCATCGAGATTGCCATCCAGCGCTTCAAGCAAAAGCGTCGCATGCATGAGATGTACGCACATGTCTTCAACAAGCTCATGCGCTTTGGTGGAGTAGAGTCCGGTCCTCGCCAGTACCAAGGAATCTCCAAGCACGACATGAAGGAGATGGGTGCTGAGGAGATTGCGAGGGCTCTCGCCATCCACAACGTACCCTGGGACCGGTCCGATGAGAAGCGGTGGGTTGTTGACTTTGTAGCTGTCTGCAAAGCTTTCCTGTAAGCCTACCACCCCGAGCTTGCCTGACGCGATGTTGACTATGACAGATCATCTTGGTACCCTGCCCACTACGGCTATGCTTCGCACGCCATCAAGAACGCTTGTCAAGTACCCCGCTCTTTCTTCAGATATCTTCGCTTTCACCGTGTCTGCCCCGAATTCGACGATCAGCTTGCCACTGCGCTCCGAATCTGTGACCAGGCCGAGCGGGAGCTTCCCAAGGTCAACTCCGTAGGTCTTGCCCTACCCGGAGACTTCAACAAGTCCGCTAGCGTTGTCTTCGGTGGCGCCCAGGCCGACATATATACTGGCGATAAGTCATGGGCTGAGGACCTCAAGAAGGAAGGCCTGACTGTTTCCGAGATCGGTATCCGGAAGGAAGAGGCCAGGGTCAAGTTCGGTACTGGCATCGCGGTTCTGGGCTCGGATGCGCAGTACGATATGTTCGAGTCAGGAGATCTGCAGATTCTCAGCAAAGAGAATGTCTATCTTGAGGTCACCGCCATTCAACTCCCTGACGACGACACGAGGTCCGCATATGCAGAGCAGAGCAATCTCTTCAAACATAAGCTTGGCCAGCTTGAACCTCTCGGCAAGCTCGTGTGCAAGACATGGTACACAGACGACTGTGACGAGTGGGACCTGCCCAAGGACAAGACCAAGTATCCCAACGGCAAGCCGCGCAAAGCTGGCGACGGCAAAGAGTACGAGTTCTGGATTGAGGAGGACATCATCAAGGACTGTTTCGTGGGCCTGAAGATGGATGCCAACGTCATGCATCTGTCCGGCGGCATGACCATTCTCGACGACATCAAGGAAACCATGTGCAGCTTCTATACCTGGATCCCGAACGAGCTCTGGATGGAACGGAAGCCCAAGGAAGTGCGCTGGTTGAAGAAGGGCATGGGTCTCGATGATGACGAGGATGAGGCTGAGATTGATGGCTCGAACAAGGAGAGTGCGGATAAGATCGCTTCCGACGACGAGTTTGACGATGAGTGAGCGGGTAGATGAAGGAAGGCAAGCCGGTATATTCTCGCGGGGACGTTGCGATGAAACGGTAGTTCGAGATACTTTGGTCGGGTCTTGTACCCAGCTGCTTAGGGCGATTCAAGGTTTGGCTCGAAAACTAAGATTTCAAAAGGGAAATTCACGATGTTTCTCTAGTTATGCCAAGGTTCTCTGGAAATACGTAATCTATCGTGAAATCGGTGACCAGACACGGTGCATCTCAATAAACTCACGCTAAACCCCTTGAACTTTCTCGATCTCTATTGAGTGGCGTTGATCGCGAAAGGTAGTGGATTCTGCGCTTGCGCAGGCCACAAGGACGCGCCTGTCCCATGTTTGGAGTACCTGCGCCACACCTGCCCGCCTCAGTTTCACACGAACGCACTCGCTGGCCTTTAGCCAGGATAACACCGCAACACCCAACTTAGGCACATAGCCCAAGGCCGAACGATCCGCAGAAAATACCGCGCAACGAAGAAATGCCACGGCCCCCGTTTGCATCGGGATACCACTTGGCCGCGACAACTAAACACCACAAAGACACTTGGACGACGCCTCAACACCACGCCGTGGGGTCTGGTAAGACGCGAAGTCCCGACGTGCGGCTACTTCGGCGAGCGGCCTCATTGCCAACACCTTGGCAGCGACACACGCCATGGCTTTCGTTGGTTTGCCAAGGCCACGCCGGCGGATCATGTGGTAATTCCTGACGCGTGTGCTTGCTCCTGGGCCTTTCGTTCGAGGGTGCAACCGTGAAGAGCGAGGTACGACTACGTGTGTGTACCGAATTAATATCAAAGGGAGAGCTGCCTGGGTCGGAGCAGTAGTGCGCGCGGCACTGCGTTGCATGGTGTGTATACCCGCATTATCCGTCTCCCGTCTCGCATTAAAGACGTAAGTGTCGCGGGTTACCCGGCCCTGCCTAGCCAGCACATGTGAGACGGACTGGGGACGTGGGAGCTGGAGGAAAGGAGACGCGCAGTGCGTGCGGAGTGGAAAGGGCCAGGGACCGCCAAGATCTTGAGTGCTCTTAGCAGGCGGAGAACGCAGGCGGGCGTGGCTTGGGTAAAACGTGCGTTACCGCCGCCTTTTGATATCTGGGTCGCTTCTCCGCTGGCTCTTTTCCCTGGTGTTCGAGCATGCCCTTTTGCGACGAGGTTGCTGTACCACGACGTTGTGGCGTTACCATCACTGCGACCGCGACTGGGACTTGAGCGACGCGCCATCGGCATTTGCGAAAGAGCGACCATTACGACTACTGGGGCTGCCGTGATCGACGAACGACTACGCTCGGGGATTAAAACAGGTGGACCTGCGGAGCGGGATATGTCTGCTAAGATGCACGTCGTGAGCGCCGTCTTAGACGCGCGATCGAGTATGGGGTTGCCAAATCGGGCTCAAGTTGGTATGTTCGTCCCCGTCTGCTACTACTCAGCAACGCAACATCGTCGCTGACCACATTGCAGCCCAAAGTTTCCTGAACCCTTACATCTACGACCCTTCTTACCCCCTGGCTATAACAGGCGCAATTGTCGTCCTGTTACTTTCCACATATTCCATTTACCAGTATGTCCGCCACAAGGCGTACTTCTTCTGGGCAGCCATCATCGCCATTATCATGCTTGATCTGGGCTTCATATGCCGCCTGGTATCTGCCTACGACGAGCACCGAGAGTCGCCCTTCCTCGCCTCATGGCTCATGATCTTACTCGCACCCAGCTTCCTGGCTGCAGCATGCTACACGGCATTCAGTCGCGTAGTATGGTTTTCCTGCCCAACCCACGCGCTCAACTTCAAGACGCTGTGGTGCTTCCCTAGGTGGATTACCGCCAACTTTGTGTGTTTCGACCTCCTCAGTTTCCTCGTCCAACTCGTCGGCGCGAGTCAGATTAGTCGGCAGTACGATGAAGACAAGCAAGGAAACCGGACTATTGCTGCTTCTGAACGGAAAGCGCTGCCTGGTCGCATCATCCTCATCATGGGTCTGGTGATGCAACTGCTCTGTTTCCTCAGCTTCTCCATCATCAGCATGCGGTACTTCTACATCAGCCGGCATTGGGCTGCACATGACCTTGGGGATTTGCACCTTTGGCGGAAACTGGGGTATACCATCAATCTCTCCTCGGTCCTTATCGCCTGCCGGGCATTCTATCGAACCATCGAGATACCACACGATCGCAACTACGGGCTAGCATATCTCCAGAGTCACGAATGGTGCTTCTGGGTCTTCGATGCCGCGCCCATACTTGCTGTGCTAGTCGTGTTCGCTGTGTGGCATCCGGGTCGATATCTGCCGAGAAGCTACACAGGGTGCAGACTGGACAAGGGCAGGGCTGTCAAAGAGAAGGATGAGATCAGTTCGATGAACGGTGGTAGTAGTGGACGGGAGACCGAGCTGAGAGATTTCAAGCCCGAGGACTTCCAGTCTGGAAGGGTCGCGACGAACGTGTAAGATTTTGAAACGCGGATGAAGAGTTGTTTGTTCATGATACCATTGCATTAAGCGGGAGGCGCTTTGAAGCGCCATCGGGATGATACCATACTCAATGACATAATTGCATGCCTACTTTGACTGTGTCTTTCGACTTGTGGCTCTTCGCCATATCTGTGTGGATTGACGTGTGCTTCCTTCTCAGTCCTCTTGCCGCCCAGCGTCTCCTTCGTTTCGGAGCACATCTCGCACAACGACATGCATTGCTATTGCAGGCCGCTTGTTGGCTATTCTCTTAGCCTCATACTGGAGTGGCTGCATGACCGGGAATGCTGCTGGTCGACTCATGAACTCCAAGGAGTCGTAGGTCCTCGAGCTCGTCTCTGGTTTAATATCGGAAAGTTCATCAGATGGTTATGTGCTCCCTTCATATGTCAGGCTGGTAGTGCATCCTGAACTTCTTGTTCGCGCGATCAGCCGCTCGTGTCTGAAATTGTTCGGCGTTGAGCTCAAAGACCAGTGGCTTCATGGGCTCCTTTCCTTCTTCGACAGGAAGCGGCAACTCAAAGCGGATGATGGTGTGTTCCTTGGGTATAGCTGAGAATGTCAGATACTTACCACTTACCTGGGTCTAGCCTACAGGACTTACATTTCACAGCGTTGTTCTTCGTGATGATCTCGAATGTGAACCTTGTATCACGGACGATGATGCCCTCCAAGCCTACGCGGCTCACGCACCGACTTCTTACCACACTCACGAGTGCACCGTGCATATCGGCGGTCGCAAGCAGTTGCCCACTTGCGTTTGGCGTGACAAGCACATTCCTCGCAGCGTCGTTCAGGCCTAGCACCTCCCGCATGTATCCCACCCACAAATTGTGTAATCCGTCGTAGATGGCATACTTCTGTTGCTCCTTGGGTATCTCGTTCAGGCACAGTGCACGCTTCTTCGCAGCGGACAGCGGACGAGGCTGGTTCTTGCTGCGCTTCCTGGCGACCTGTTGGCGCTCGTTGAGAGCGCGGCGGCGGACTGCGCGTGCAGACGGTGTAGGCGAGGTTGCGCGAACGTGGAGGGGACGCTTTATGACGCGCTCGTGGTAGTGTGATTCAGCAGTCGAGGGAGAAAATGCGCGATGCAGCAGCGTCTGCGCAATGTGTGGATTTGCGTCGGCCATTTCAAGTCCAGTATCGCAGTAGCAAAAGTCGCAACTCGTCGGGATGGAAGTTGGTGTTCTTCGACATGACGAGGAAGACGGCGGCACTAGTGCGCACAAAAGCGGGCTAGAGCGGTGGCTCGGCTATCGTTTTGTCCGCGCTGCCTCCCACACAATTTCGACAATTCGACCTCAGCTTCTCGACAACACCGCTAACCCGCAGCAACCGTCAAGATGAAGTACATGTACGTCTATCCCTCGATCACGACTCCCAACCCGCCGCATCGCACGTTTTTCCCTGCCTCCGAACGGTCAATGGACGCCTCTATACCGAACTTCTCCGCCAACAAACATCAAATTCCGGATCCAATGCTGACGTTTGCGCAACAGCCACTCTGAGGAAGAGCTCGAGATCCCCGAGGGCGTCAAGGTCCAAATCAAGAACAGAAATGTTCTCGTTGAGGGTGAGTGCGCATGGTAGAGGACCCCTAGAGAAACAACACTGACATATCCAACAGGCCCTCGCGTAAGCCGCCCACAATAGCCTCTACGATCCTCGAACCGATTCTTACACTCCACAGGGCAAGCTCACAAAGTCTCTCGGTCACTTGGCGGTCAGCTTCACGCACGTACGTTTGGAACATACACATCGCATCGGGGGCATATGCTAAGACTGGAACAGCCCAAGAAGAACCTCATCAAGATCGAGCTCCACCACGGTTCCCGCAAGAGCGTCGCCACCCTCCGCACTGTCCGCACCCTGATTGTACGTCGCGCGCACCCTCGAGTCTATACTGGCAAGGAAGGAAGGACTGGGCTGACTGGAGTAGAACAACTTGATCATCGGTGTCACCAAGGGTTACAAGTACAAGATGCGTTACGTATATGCCCAGTATGTCGCACCCATCGCACATCTCTTCCGAACCCGCCGCAGAGCATGATCCATCCGACACGACTTTCAGCGCTCTCCAAGAGGCTGGTGCCAGAGCGCTGGGCGCGCCAGATTGACTCATGCTCGTGGCGGGCCTTTGCACATCGTTGAACATGACTAACATCATGTCCAGTTTCCCCATCAACGTCAACCTGGACAAGAACAAGGAGACCGACTGCTGGGAGGTTGAGATCAGGAACTTCATCGGCGAGAAGCTCGTACGAAGGGTCGTCATGAGGCCCGGTGTTGAGGTTGAGGCATCAAAGAACCAGAAGGATCAGCTCGAGCTGTCCGGAAACGTAAGGACCGCCGCGCAACATGGATTGAAGCAATGCTAACCATCACACAGTCGCTCGAGGATGTCTCCCAAGGTGCCGCCGATATCCAGCAAATCTGCAAGGTCCGCAACAAGGATATCCGAAAGTTCTTGGACGGTCTTTACGTATCGGAGCGCGGCAACATCGTTGAGGACGCGTAAACGGTTCTGGGGAGTACGGGTTTCTTTACGGGCAATGAGCATCTATGAACTTCTCTGCATCATATGCGGTTGGCGCCTGGGGGTCTAAGATCAAAAACGATGTTCAAACAATACCACCATGACTTGATGGAATCGCGCCGGCACATTCACGATGAAGTGTGAGGTGATGAGAGGTCAATAAGATCAGTACTTGCCAAGAGACATGAACGATCTAAACTCACTTCAACACAACTGCGACTGCTTCTTGGCCTTTGGTGATGTTGCATGGTGTGAGCCCGTGCCTGAGGAGTCCAGCCTAGCACACTATGAATGAGATCACATTACGAGTAAGCATGAATCTGATGATCATTCGGTTCCATCTCTCTATCCATGCACGAAGAGACGCCTCCTGCCTCTTTTGGCGGCTGGACTGTCCGCGGATGTGGGATTTCCACATGACGTATCCATGGCGGCTCGTCGTGCCTGAACCCCGCATCGTTGTTCGTTGTAATATCTACCACCGGGACAATGATGAGGCTATCGCCGCAAAGCCCGACAATGACAGCTCATTGTAACCTCGATTGGAAAGCAGGTGGTGCAGGCACGGCGAAAGTGCCGTTATGGCGAGATATATGAGCAAGGTGTCGCCCATACAGCTGTTGGTTTATTCATACATCAGTTGCTTGCCCCACCACAGCCCTGCGAAACATCAAGCACCCCACTAAACACCAATCCGCAACCGATCCACCGATTTGCGACCATGGCGGACAAGCTCGACATTGAAGGGCTCCTCAAGGAGTCCAAGGCTGAATATAAGCGCTTGGGAAAGAGCGGTCTCAAGGTCTCGGTACCCATATTGGGTGCTATGAGCATTGGAAGCTCCAAATGGCAGCCCTGGGTCATCGAAGAGGAAGAGTCGTTGCCGTTGCTGAAGGCTGCATACGATCGCGGTCTGACGACTTGGGATACAGGTAAGACTGACAGAACAGTCACGTACTTGCAACAGTTACTGACAGCTTATAAAGCCAATGTTTACTCCAATGGTGTCTCTGAGGAACTGGTCGGCAAGGCCATCAAGAAGTACAACCTACCTCGCGATAAGCTAGTAATTCTCACCAAATGCTTTGGCTACGTCGGCGAGGACCCCGGTCTGCGAACCATCCAGTACGGCAAAGAGCTGCCTCAATTGAAAGACTATGTAAACCAAGGTGGTCTCTCACGACAGGCCATCTTCAACGCTGTCAATGCATCGCTCAAGCGTCTTGACATGGACTATATCGATCTTCTGCAGATTCACCGCTTCGATCCAAACACGCCTCTCGAGGAGACCATGGAGGCGCTGCACGATCTGGTCAAGAGTGGGAAAGTTCGATACATCGGCGCTAGCTCCATGTGGGCAGTGCAGTTTGCGCAAATGCAGTTCACTGCCGAAAAGAACGGCTGGACGAAGTTCATCAGCATGCAGAACCACTACAACCTGCTCTACCGCGAGGAAGAGCGCGAGATGAATCGGTTCTGCAATGACACTGGTGTTGGTCTGATCCCGGTAAGCTTCCGTGTTCAAGTACAATGTCAGTCTTTGCTAATAGCTTACAGTGGGCACCTCTTTGCCGTGGCCATCTCGCTCGCCCTCCCTCTGCGTTTGGCTCGACTACTCGTTCAGAAGGCGAACAGAAGGCCGGTAATCAAACCTCTGGTAGCACTGAACGTGACAAGAAGATCATTGCTCGCGTTGAAGAGATCGCGAAGAAGCACGACTGGAAAATGAGTCACGTTGCCCTCGCGTGGATCAACAAGCGTGTCGCAAGTCCGATCATCGGCTTCTCCAGCACAGACAGGATGGATGAAGCGCTTGCAGCGAGGGGCAAGGAGTTGACTGAGGAGGAGGAGAACTACCTCGAGGAGCTGTACGAGCCCGTGAGGATTGTTGGGCATTCATAGGCAAGCCATGCAGCAACATCGATGCTAGCGGTCGAAGCCAACAAGCGATACATCAATCAATATTGCGGTGTCAAATGCGAAGTTATCCTTCATCTATATTGCTTTTTCAAGTGAGTAATTACAGAGTTCAAATGGATACCTAGTTACCTAGGCAGCCCAGATCATCTTGCGAAAGTGGATAGTCCAGTAGAACGCTGACATGCATCTCCGCGTGGACCTTGAGCCCTTGCAGTAATCAAGTGGATCTCTGATTCACTCGGACCGCATTAGGGCCCGGAGCTGAGATGATACGCGTCGATGCGCGCTTTGTCCAGCGCCGAGCGGCCAATGACGTCGGTCACGCGATCTATCTCACCACCGTGCCTGATGCTCCGGAGCACCAACATAACGGCAATAGATGCTTGGGAAGGTCAAAATGCGAACAACGAGGCTCAATTGCTATCTTCTACACTATCTCGAGCTCTTTTGACCAACAATGTGAGATGGACACGCAGGCTTCCACCGTTGGTTTGCTCCTTCCCCGCATTCTGGGTGATGCTCCCCTTCCCCGCATTGGCCCGACCATTCACGTCTCACGCCGATTGGATTGGACCACAATGTGGTGATCGATCAAGTGACCGTCTCCTGTGCCTGCCGGCGAGAGACTGAGCCCCTCATAAGCTGCGCCCTCCCTCGTTTCCTCTCCTTCCTCACAGCCTCCACTGTGCTTTCGTATCTCACATCACATCCACAGCTCCAGGCAACCCCTCTACAGCTTCCCAAGCTCTTTCATCATCTACAACCCCTTCAATCTTCCAGTAGCTTGACTGCAACTGCATCCTACCACAATGGCCGCAGAGACAGAAAACACGCTCCAGAAGGTCGACTCTTTGACCGATCACCAAGATGGCGCCGCTAAGAAGGGCCACCGCAGAGTCAGCTCCATGGCTGCTGATGTCTACCGCATCGAGGATCTAGGTGAGTGCCTCTTATGATGATAGCCCAAATGAGGGGTCGTGCGTGAGCAGCGGGCGGGGCTGACAGAACCTCAGAGAAGGAAGGCAAGAAGATCGAGATCGCACTCGAAACCCAGAAGCTGAACTGGTAAGTGATTCCCTCCATCGCATTGTTGCGAGCCATCCGACCATGATGCAGACCAGCTCGTCGTCGTCCGGATAGCTCCGGCAGCCCCAATATCTTGACCGTGCTAATGCAGTACTTCCAGGAAGCTCAACAAGTCGCCGAGCACCGTCGAAGACCCGTCAGTCTTGAAGATGCCACTCACCGAGCCCAAGCTCAAGTCCATCGCCCTACACTTCCCGCTAGGACTAGAAGTCACCGCACGGAACATGAAGGGTGTGACCATCAAGGACGCACTAGATGCTATCCACAAGCAGTTCAAGAAGCGCGTAAGTATCCCTTGTCATTGGATCTTACCATCGAGCATCGTTGTCGCTGTTCCTATATACCGCGTACTTTGAGGTTGTTATCAAACCATAGCTAACCCTCTTATAGGCAGACGACGAGTTCGAGAAGCCATACCTTATGGGCTTTGAGTGGGACCCAGAAGAGTGCTACACCCGCTTCATCGTCCACCAGTCGGCCGTTCCTACAGTAAAGAACGACTTCGGCTCAAGCAAGAAGAAGAAGAAGAACAAGGCCGAAGGCGAGGAGGGTTCCTAGATGAACGACTCGCCCCCTTCCCTGACGTCGACTTCTACAGACAGCCTCAGTCATACTTCCGTGCTTCGGCGCTGGTATGTGCGGGGTACGGATAACTCGGGTGCTGGTCAATCTTCATATCGATATGGGAAGAGCGAGCGCGTCTGCCGCGATGGCGTGTCTGGTATACTGTAGGCCTGCGTAGGTAGGCAGTTTACTGGCTGCGGGTATCGAGCGGTGGATGCTTCGTGGAACCGTTCGTGGGGTACTTGCTGAAGGGCAGTACCCGCTTATGTATGCTCTCGGGCACTCTTTGAGGTTGCTGGAAAGCACTTCATACAATGAGAAGACCTGGTTACATGTCATGTCCTCGAAGCTGTCTGTGATGTCGTTTGTAAAGGTTTGACGTTGACTTGGGCGGACCCACCCTACTGCGGGCAGCTCTCCACCACGCTGTAAGCGAAGGCACGCGGGCACGTTGCGGCTTCCGCGATCACAATTGACTGTCCTTCCGTACCGTCTATGAACGCGTCTCATGTATGCGACTCATTGGGTGTTTATTTATCGCATCTAGTAGTGTCACATGTGCGACACGATATATGCCTATGATGGCCGCTCAGCTGTCCTCAAATGGTGTAGCAAGTAGCCTTGCATTGGTAGCGCTGCAAGCGCTGGCGTTTCAGCACCCTTAGCATGAACCTTTGTCCTTCGACACCGTATTTTGAACATCAACTAATCAGTTTCGCTACCTCATCTAAACATATTTGTTTCTTTACACACGATTCCAGACGCCTACATACGCAGCCTACGCTCAAACGTTGTACGTGCAACATAGCCTAGCAGGAGGCCTACATACCGCCACAACAAACCAGCTCCCGGCACCCGCCTGTGTTTACTATCTGGAAACCGCGTCCATCAAATCATATATACATACCAATGCGATGTTCACAAACCTCCAGATAAGGCCTGCCAAGACCCGACGCCGCAAGCCTAGCTTGTCTATTCGGGCTGGCGTCTCAAAGCGCAGGGTTTCCACTGTTTCGGCATTGAGTGCGAGCATTGTTCCGTCCGTGAGCTTCATGGAAGGCCTGTTTGGCGACGAATTCCCCGAGGCCTTCGGGAGCGGGGCCCAGAACAGGAAGACCATCACGGACTTGCCATCGGAACTTCTCGAAATTGTCTGCCAACACATCTCAAAGCTCGACATCAAGCGACTGCGGCTCACGAGCAAGCATTTGGCGGCCAGCGTGTATCTGCGTATAGATCGCGTCTATGTCTCGCCTAATCGAGCTAATCTGGACTATCTGCATCAAATCATGGCTCATCCGACGTACAAAAACCGTGTGCTCGAGATTGTCTGGGATGATGCCTTGCTCAATGAGTATTCGACTTTGGATGATTTCCGCCAAGCTGTTCTCGCCGACGAAAGAGAGGTTACCAGGGCGATTGAAAGCCGACTCGAGGAGGCCATGGAGCTCTATGGCGACGAAAACCCTGAGCATCGATCATTATCGGTGGCAGACCTAATCGAGGATGGTCGGCTGACCGAGATCGCAAAGGGCATCCTCTTGCGATATGATGACCACTTCTCAAGAGACGTTCTGGCTAGAAATGCCACAATGATGAGCATTGAAGACAGCTATGCGCTATACCAGGAGTTGTATCGTCAAGAACAAGAACTTGTGGAACAGCAGGTCGATGCAGCTGCATTACATGAAGCACTAGCCAGCTTTCCAAGCGTAAAAAGGATCACGACCACAATCGACGCGTGGCCTGCATGGGATGTATCGCCTCGGTACAACACGCCCTATCAGCGTTCACTGCCTATGGGCTTCCGCAAACCAATTATCTGGCCATGGCTCCGATCTCCTCAAGAGGCAGAGCGTATATACGATCAGTGGTCCTCACGAGCTGCCAAGCTCAAAGAGAACGGAGAAACTTTACCCAGACCTTATGGCGTCGTAGTTTCTGCAATCCTCGCCATGCCAACTCCGCGGATAGAAGAGTTCGTCATTGAATCGGAATATCAAGCCAACTACCACCACTGCTTTATCTCTAAAGCTGCTTCACACAACTACCAAAGCACCAAGCAGATGTTTCAGAGAACACCTCTGAAGCACGTCAAGTTAACAGTCACCCCCTCGAATGATTATCTGTACAACGAAGACAGCTTGACCAATCTCCAGTCGTTATTGGCGGAACTACGGTACCTCGAGCATATCGACCTGAGTCTCAACGATAAAAGATCAGGTCGGAGTTCGCGCCGGTTTCTGCAGTTCAATCCTATTCCAGAGGCGGTAAGACCGCAGTTGAAAACGCTCACCTTGCGGAACGTCAAGCTATCCCCACAGGACTTGCTCGATCTCCTCACGTCATCGGTAAATTTACAGCAGGTCACTTTGTATCATTGTTTCCAGCGCATACCACCACAGTATGGATTCCCTTGGCTCTTCCATAAGCTCAGGAATCATTACCGCGATACGAAGGATGTCAGTAAACCGAGCTTTAGGGTCGCAGCACCCCTGTCCGGTCAGTACTCACAGGTTGTGGATGACGAGGTTGATGCCTTTCTGTATGACGAAGACGAGCCCGAATGTCCTTTTTTGAAGCAGCCTGCGAACAGAGAACCTAACGAGATTAAACCACACATGGGATGGAAGGTCTGGGATAAAGATGAGAGTGTGAGGGAACGGATGGCTGAAGTGATTGAGAGAGAGGAGATGCAAGAGAGGGATGAGGAGATGTAGTAGTGTAAAAATCCCGGGTATTGAGAACTACAAGTAAACTTGGGAAGTTTGTGGTCCCTGTCAGTGTCGAGTATGCGCCTCGGGTGCGCCTCCCAGTATTCACGGCGTCCGTGCCCAATACGCCTACTTCTATAAATCCAGCCCTCGTACATTCGGAAGAGCACACGCACTCACGAACTCCACTCAGCTCACGCTCTACCCTGAACTCACTGCTGGCCTCACTTCGACACGAACACTACCGCATTCTTAACGCCAAATATGGCTTCCTCAAAGACAACGACTAGTTTCACGGATCTTCCAGTCGAACTTCGCCTCCGCATTTACTCCGAAACTATCACCTCCATCTCTACAATGGTTTGGCCTACACACAGACCCGACTCCGAATATCCTCTTTGGCTGCTTGAGCACATGAAAGAAATCTTCGTCGCCCAGCGCATTCCGTCTTCGCACGATCTCTACAGCTACTACGGTCTCCTGCTTTCATGCAAGACTGTCTATGGCGAATTCGAGCATGAGTGGCTCAAGGTCTACGTCCCATGGTTCAAGAAGGAGTTTGACATCCACAACTTTGATCTTCCAACTATCAGCAAGATAGGGGATACGGCACACGTGCGCATCGGCCTTCCAATGCCATCAGGTGGTTGGCTCCAGTCTCCGCTTGTTATTCTCTCCGGTGTTCGCAAGCTTGCCAACAACTTGCCTTCGTTCTGCATCTATCCCATTTCGTCGCTTGCGTCCGATCATACGCCGCTTACCCGGGAGCAGATCAAGCGCTTTGCGATTGGTGCGTCAGGCCAGGAAGATAGCCCTTTCCTGCACTCAATGCTATTAGTTGCAAGTGTTTTGGCAAAGTTAAGGACCCCCATTGACACATTTCAATATCGCCCCATATTAGGGGAAGACTTCCAGGATATTGCGATGAATTGGGCGTGGAAGAAAGTGGTAGCTAGGCGCGAGAAGATCGACGGGTGGAAAGAAGTGGAGTGGCGCGATGACGTTTTTCGACCTGACCGCCCCCTACAGCCGCCTAAGACGCGCAGGTCCTACCATCAGCCATCAAGTTCTGGTTAGAAATGTCATTTTCAAGATATGACCATGTCCCAATAGAACAAGCTGGAGCCGCGCCTGCGCAAGTAGAACAGTCGGTGTCTGATCTTCATCCGGGATTTCTGGCTTTCGAGCCACGTCCACCGTAGGATGGGAGTTGTATCTGTTGTCCAAATCGTCCCTTAGGAATGCATATAGTGAGTTACGTTGCAACTCCGCTAGAGTAGCTAGCATGTTCACTTTCAGGACGGGCGTAGTGTTTGGAAATAGAATTCATGGACAATAAGCTTCCTCACAATCAATGTCTGCTCAAGTAATTCCCTTCTCACCCTCCACTTCATTTGTCAGATATCATCGTGGAGGTCGGAACATCCAAGACAGTTATAAGCAATCGAAGATATCGAGCAAAACCATGTTAAGTCGCCAAAACTATTTGTAGTCTAGGAATGTGCTTTGAGCTACGTGTTTGCAGTATATCAGGCCTGTGCAATGTTTTTACCGCCCCATCATCCTGCCTCCTCGTTCCTAGTTAAGCAGTCCCTCTACAGGTTCCGGCCAACTACCCAAGATCATGGCATTGCCGGGCGTCTGTCCCGGTAGCGGACTAAGCAGCTTGACCTTCTTCTTCGCCTCGTCTACATCCGCGACATAGATATACCCCCTGATACTGCTGTCCCGAATCACGCTCTGCGGATCGTTGGGACTCGCTGTTGTGATAGCTAACAGCTGGTTCTGAAGCGCCTCAGACGGTGTGACTTTCTCGAAGATCTGCCGCTCGACCGTCATGCCGTACTCGTCTACTCCACCGTTTCCTTCTCCTTCGACGACACGGAAGATGTTTAGGTCGGCGGCGTCGGCCATCTGGCTGCTGGGAGCCAGTGTCTCGTCGCCTTTGCCGAAGAAGTACTCTTTGATTTGGGCGTGGCGGAGGGCCTTCATGTATTCTTCGCTTCGATCGACGCAGCCGCCGGACTTGTCAAGGCGGACTACGGATACGGTTTCGGAGGGGTCGCCGCCGGTGCGGGCTGAGAATTTGCGGGAGAGGTCGGAGTAGAGGCGTTCGGAGCCGAGGGTTATGACGACGTTGACTGTAATGGGCTGTCAGTATGATGATCTGATAGTGTGTACGTACATTCGATTGCCAATCCTCTCGGAAAATAGATATTGGACCTTGGGTGCATGAATGTACATGGGCGATGTTGGGAGGGGAAAGGCTGAAGTAGTATGCAAGACATCACACGCACCAGAGAACTCAGAAACAATATGTTCTATGTTGTCGTAGACGCCATTTCTCCCTTGGCTGATGGCGCCTGAGCTATCAATGATGAAGCCAGCCTGCTTGCTGAGCGTGTCCTCCTCCAATCTACTTGTGACAGCAAGTGCCATGCGCGTTACCAACGGCTTGAACACCCTGCCCTCCTCTGGGTCCTTGAGACCGTAGTGGTATACCAGCGGCATCTTCACTGGAATGGGGCTGGGCCCTGAGATGGGACTGCTGCCCCAGCCTTCTTCAATGTCCACAATGGACGAGTATACAGCTGCTGAAAAAGAGCCTGGCACACTGAGCATACCCTGGCGCGGGTCGAGGTTCACGACCATAGGCTGCCGGCTGGTCTTGACCGCGTAGGAGGTCAGAGTCTTGACGAGTGACGTCTTGCCTGAGTTTTCAGGTCCCACGACAAGTATTCTGGGTCCCATTTCGACGCTGCCACTGGCAATACTCCTGTCGCGCAGGTTCTCCAGCGCGAAGTGTAGGTTCGCACAACTCATCATGGGCGTCTCTTCCGCGATGTAGTCCGACTCAACCTCTCCGCCGATGTCGAGCTTGCAGCCATGCCATGTGAAGATAGCGCCCTTTGTGCCCTGAAACGTGTATACGGTAGATGGAGCCAGCTCGGTGCCGAAAAACTCTGCGGTGCCCGATTGCAGCTTCACCGTGAGTGTCCGCGAGAAGGCTACCTCGAAGCGGTATTCGGTGTTGGCAGCGAGGTCTTGGGTTCGTGTGGCTGTCGAGGTGGGGGCATTTTGCGCTTCGGTCGGCTGCGAGGACAGGTTCAGACCTGGTAGAGAGATCATCGTGGATATAGGATGTGGGGAGACGCTGAAGCTGTGCAAGGACTGAATGCGTTGAAGTGTAGATATTCCTATGAGCTGGGTGAGGAGATCAGTCTGCACATTCGAATCTAAGTGCGCAACACAATAGCGCCTGAGAAATCAGGTAATAGTCACGTAGTCGTTCAAGTTGCAGTGACCAGGCGATAGGCGGGAAGAATAGAGACGCGATCAGTTGAGCAACTGGGAAGCGCGACGCAGCGAAGCTTGGGCCCTGCGGACTTAACACGAGCTTATTGGCGGAGCTGGTGGGGTGCCTTCCCCATGAAAGCTCCCTGGTCAATCGGAAGCTCGTCAATCTATACCTCAATTGCAGCCCGTCATCTGTTCATTTCGCTTTTGATGATTCAGGTGCTTTGTCTTTCCTGTTTCACGTCATGTTCAACGTCTTCAGCTGAACGCCCTTGCCTCTCCGCCCCGTCCATCCTTGCATTCCTCGATTACCGATAGCCATTGCGCAATTGAATCTGGCTGTTCTCGCGAAAGCTTCGAGTCCCAAAGGTGTCGCTTGGACCGTCTCGACCTAATATGAAGCAGCTATTGGCTTCGCTGTCCTTAGGGGCTCTTCTTGCCGTCTCATCTGTGTCCGCTGGACTAAACAACGTTAAGGAGCAAGAACCTATGCGCCCTCCCATCGATCCGCTCAAGTATCGAGCAGCCTGTCCAGACTACAAGAACTATGCGATGCGACCACAGTATGCCAATATATACATCGAAAAGAGTTTGTACTAATCCGTCTGACAGTCCGCCGTATAGCACCGGCCCCATGGAACTACCCTTCCAACGACCGTCCAAATACTGCCGAACTTTCGAATCGCCTCTCGTCGAAAAGGTCATCGATGACATGAACGAGAAGATGGTCGACAAAGACCTCGCTCGTCTCTTTGAAAACGCGTTCCCCAACACACTAGACACTACCGTACGCTGGCATGTCGGTGATACTGTGAAGCATAAGACTTCAAAGCGAAGTTGGGATCCAGCAGCTTGGAAGGGAGCACAGAGTTTCATCGTTACGGGAGACATCAACGCTGAATGGCTACGCGACTCTACGAACCAGCTAGCACAATACCAGCTGCTAGCCAAGAAAGACAAGGAGATCCACCAACTCATTCTGGGAGCCATCAACACACAGGCCGAGTACGTCATCGGATCACCATACTGTAATGCCTTTCAACCGCCTCCACCGAGTGGCCTCAACCCAACCTTTCAAGGCGACGGCGACAAAGTACATCCAAACTATGAGGAGTCATTCGTCTTTGAATGCAAGTACGAACTCGACTCTCTCGCCCACTTTCTCTCCTTGTCGAACCAGTTCTACAACCATACCGACTCCACCGAGTTCATCAACGCTCGTTGGCTCCTCGCTCTCGACACACTTCTCGGTGTGCTCAAGGAGCAGTCAAAGCCTACCTTTAACGAGAAGACAGGCGCATACCAGGGCAACGAGTACACATGGCAGCGCCAGACCAACATCGGCACCGAAACGCTCAGCCTAAACGGTCTCGGTAACCCTCTCAACGGCGGCACAGGGCTCGTCCGCTCTGCCTTCCGCCCCAGCGACGATGCAACAATCCTCGGCTTCTTCATCCCCGCCAACGCCATGATGGCCGTCGAGCTCCTCCGCACAGCCGCCATTCTCAAGAAAGCGGGCAAGAAACACATAGCAACTGAAGTGGAGACCTGGGGCGAGACAATCCAAAAGGGCATCTGGGAACACGGTGTTGTGACACACAAGAAATACGGCGAGGTCTTTGCATTCGAAGTCGATGGCTATGGGTCTTCCATCTTGATGGATGACGCTAACCTGCCCTCTTTACTCGCTTTACCTCTGCTCGGCTTTACGGATACAAACAACAAGATCTACAAGAACACGCGCAAGATGATACTGGAGAAGCACGGCAATCCCTATTACCTCACCGGCTCCGACTTTGCGGGCATCGGCGGTCCCCACGTCGGCGTGCGAAACGCTTGGCCCATGGCTGTCCTCGTTCAAGCTATGAGTAGCGATGACGACGATGAGATTATGAAGTGTCTTGCTGCAGTCAAGAAAGTAAGTCCGTTGGGACTCATACACGAGAGTGTGAATGTGCAGTCTGGAAAATCATACACAAGGAGTTGGTTTGCGTGGGCAAATTCAGTCTTTGCGCAGACGGTGTTGGATTTGGCGCAGAGAAAGCCACATTTGCTGTTTGGTAAGGGTGCTGAGGCATATACTGTTGGTTGAAGGTAGAAGTATAGATCGACAGTTGTCAAGACTCACTCGTGTGTATGCATCGAGTGTAGTGAATAGCGAGACGCAAAACGGCCATGTGCAAAGATTTCATTGTAGCCACCTATATCACAAGAGTTCCTTGCCATCTAGTAATCCCCGCCCCCCTCCCTATCTACGTCATAGATCCAATCAAGGTATCCAGCCCATACAAAACGCTTCAAACCTAATGGGTATAGTGTATCCAAAGAAACGAAAGCAACAAGAAAGAAGAGAAAAACTAACTAGGCGATTAGAACAACGTACAAAACAACGGGTAATTAGTATGGGGGTATTTCAGGTCGTGTTCTCGCCAATTAACGTGAAGGGGAAAAAAGCACACGCTGGTTTCAAAAGATCGCGAAGAGATCCAGGCCGTCGCAAATCGTCGAATTACAATGTCGTCATCCAGGTAAGCAAAGCTCCAGCCCTTGTTTGTCTTATGTATACGCTCAGTTGGTGAAGCTCATTTGGCTTCTCAGCTTCTCGGTCGTTCTTCGTCTTGAAACAGCGCGGTGTCCGTCAGGGGACTTTCCTGAAACCATGTTTGTCCAGTCTTCCCAGTCAGATGCCATCTCTGTGAGTACGTTACCCATGACCTGTGCACTGGCCATGAGTCCGTGTTGCTCGCCCTCTAGAATCCGGACTTCGCACTTCCGCATCAACTTGCCAAGCCACCGGACGTTGTCAACTGGTACGCGCGAATCTTTGGATCCGTGGTGGATGACAACTGGCCTGTTGATGTCTTCGTAGCGGAACCCGATGGTCTGCTTGGTTTCAAGACAGACGATCAAATCGGTTGCGGGGTTTGCATTTGCAGTCGCGCGGTCCCAGATGGCAAAAGTAAGACGTTCGTCAAAAGCGCGTTGGCGTTCGAGCTCAGCCATGCTGAGCATCTCTTGCACGCGCTGTGCTTCTTCGTTATTGGCATCTGGGTTCGTGAGGGTCAGGGTGCTTGCGTTCGGCAGCACTTGGTCCATCATCATCATCGAATGCCGGTGGGTGTCCTTCAAGGATGGACGGGTTGTCGACTGCTGCGGTGGCACCGGTGAGGGGGCCATGCTTTTCCGCCTGGTCTTGGGCGACGTCTTAGGTCCAGTGCGCTGGAGGCTAGCACTTGTCGCGCTGAGGAAGGTTGAGTTTGCGACCTTGAGTAGAGATGGAGGTAGAGCGCGAAGGAAGCGCTGCGATCGCGGAAGTTGTTGGGTAGGTGGTGAGTCCTGACTGATGCCGATGGGCGCCATTTGCGATGGCGGTATCCAAGGCGCAAGGAGGTGCACTCTGCCACGGATATGTTGTGGCATTCGTAATGATGTCGCCAAAGCGTAGACAGCTCCTGCGGAGTGGGCTAGCATGGAGAATTTGTTAATCTTCAAAGACTGACAGATCACAAGTACGTCGTCTAGCAATTGTTAGCTCGTTTCTCTTGAGATAATGAGATAGGTTACATACCAGGCCAGCTAAGAGGTGTCCCGTTCGGATCAACTTGGCTACCTCCGATACCAGGGCGATCAGGTGTGATCAAACGCAGCTTCAAAGTGGCTGCCAGCTGATCGTAGAATGCCATGACGTATCTGGTCAGACCCATGCCTACACAAACGAAGACAGCAAAACCTTCGGGGTCACCGACTTCTGAGAAAGAAATGATCCTTCCTGTTTGCGGGTGCCGGATCTTTTGGGACAGCCGGGGTGATTCCAGGTATTGGTGTACATCCAAATCGATAGAATCTAAACTTGCAGGCCGCTCCTCAATGATCGGATGGGGCGGGCTCTGCACTGCAGCTGCTCTGGTCTTCTCTTCTTTCCGGTCGATTCTGTCATTATGCGCTTTCTCGGCCTTCGCTGGCAGATCGGGATGCGACCACCTCTTGCTGGTACTTGTACGTCTGCGCTGTAGCTGCATACTGTGCGACTCTAACGGAGGGGATACAACGTGCATGGAGCGATGTCGAGTAATAGGCTCTTCGCTGGCCGCACGAGAGGGTGGCGCCAGTCTGTTTGTCGAATCTTCGTTCACACTGGAGGAGTGTTTGTGCTTGGAAGACTTGCCTATGATGACGGAACTGGTCGCCGCTCGACGGCCGAGCGCAGATCGCCCGCCGACTGCCAAGAGTGAATTTGATCGCTGGGGTACGGAAGAGTCGCTGCTTGACTTGGTTGCTTTAGACATGATGCTTGCAGGCGCAGGCGATCTCGACTGGCGTGGATCTGCTAAGCTCGGCGTCGGCGCAGACTCGTCCAGACTTTGGAGCGCAAGCGTGTAATCGATCGGAAGTGGGGTAAGCTCATCGCCGTCGTTCAACGTCAGACTTCGGTGCCGCGAGTGGCGCAGGCTGCGTGGTTGCGATGGTACCGAGAGGTTATGGCGGTCACCTTCTGCTTTTTCGGCCGGTCTGTCCATCGGCCTTTCCGCTAGCTTCTCGGCAGCTAAGGCTGTTTCTTGTGATATTCCAAGCACTCGATGCGCCTTGGTCGAATTCTGCACTCTCCTTTCGTCCTCCGACAAGCTTGAAACTGTCGAGATGGGCGAGGACTCCGGACTGGGGATGGATGAAACGCGAGGCACCCTGGGTGTTGTCGCCCCTGCATGTACGTCCACAGGCATTTTTCCGGCTAATTTCTCTCTCCGCATTTTCTGATCTCTTAGTTCTCGGATCCTTTGAGCGACCTCATTCTCTTCCTGTTCTAGCTCGTCCAGGATCTTCTTCTTCCTTTGTGCTTCCGGATCCATCTTCTCTTCCTCTTCGGGGACCGTGTCGGCTTTCTGGGACTTTGGACGGCTCTTGTCCCCGGATCGGCGCTTCTTGCTCTTGCGGGCCGGGCTGCCAGTATGCCTCAGGGATGACCCGCGTTCGGGGATGAGTCCGCTGTCTGATGGACTTTCCAGATGAGGGGCATCGACCAGATTGAGACGCAGTCGTCGTGGGCTGTTGTTTCTGCTGGGATACCGCTGGGCAAATCTCGACGATTCAGGCACTGTCTCGTCGAATCGTGCGTCTTCCTTTGCGGAGGAGGGCTCTTCGCTGATCGTGTCTTCGTAGGGGAAGAGTTGATGCGCGGCTTTCTTAGAGGGGTCGCCGGTCGGTGTGTCGTTCAGATTGTGTACGGTCACGCGCTTCCGTTCCGTCTCTTTTTGTCGTAGTCGCTCGCGCGAGCTCATGTACATCAGGCTCTTGTGGCCCTTGAAGCTCCTCTTGCTTTCCAACGACGACCTCGCACTTTCACCCGATACCTGGCGCGGCACGCCTGCTTCGACGCTGATGTTGCCAAAACTACTCGCTGACCGGTTCGAATGGGTCGATTGTAGGGAGCACGAGCTACCACCGCTGCGTCCGATATAACTACTAAGCGAATGCGCTTTGTTCGGTTTCTTGGGCGCAGTCAAAGGCGACTTGCCGGATGGTGGCTTCGACGTCCGAATGACAGGGGGTTCGCATGCGTCGTCGGGGTAGAGGTCGTTCTGGTCTCTTATCGGGTTGTGGAAGCTGCTGCGGTCCACCGACGCTCCATCATGCCCGGCGATCGAGTTCTTCTCCGAGTGGGTGCGCACGCTGGGCGCGGCGGAGGGCGAGAGGCCGTTGCCGTAGCCGACGAGGAGATTCTCAAAGTGGTTGTGCGCGGGGATGGATATGGCAGACAGCTGGTCGATCAGCGACGAGATGACCTGGGGCGAGGCGGCCGTGGTGCGTATGTAGTTGGGCGTGCGCTTGGCCGGGCGCGCATCCGATGTTTTGACAGACGATGGCAGAGAGTCGCGCCGCCGCGACTTCAAAGTCTGGGTCGCCGGGGCGGTAGTGGCTGCATCGGCGGCGGCGGCGGGAGAGCGAACGGGTTGCTGGTAATCCATCTGCGCCGCGTGCTGCACGAGAGAGGCCCGTAATCCAAATCGGTAGGCCCTCTATGTTAGGTGTCTGGAATGCTGCAGTCTTGATGATCAGTGCATGGTTGGCATGCAGAGTCCGCGAGTCCGGTAATCATGCGCGTCGCGACCTGGCCGTGGTAAAAGATTGGTAGAGAGAACTCCAAAACTGCACAACGTCTACAAAGTCCAGAAAGATACCAGAAGAACAAAACATTCGCCGAAGAGATGGGACGCCTGTGTTTAATTGCATCGGGCGGCGGGTGCCCGAGGCGAATTGAACCTCCTCAGGGATAGTGATGGTCGTCGCTGCCATGGCAGGGGCCACCGCCTAGTCTCAGTTGAGCGACCCCGAGAACTCTAACCCTTACTATAGCACATTTCTTATACCACATGAACCGCCTCTTGGGGTCGTCCCACGTTTACTTCTTGTACCCATTCATCTGCCTTCGTGGACCCTTTGCCTATCATCTATTCTTTGCCGTTGCCATGCGCGGCTGTCTGCGCTTGAACTGCACGCCCGTTCAGCTGCCGGTCCTCATGCACAGTGCACATTACTCGCGCTTGCTCATGCAAAAGGACTGATCAGCATTAGTTCTGGCACCGTTTCGACGCGTCTCAATTATGTTTCTGCTGCTCGTTTCTCCTTTTTCCACTCGCTTTATGCTCGTGCGTAGCCTCATGGCCTCATGTTCATGCTATGAACCATCGCATCCCGCGCCCGTCTTTGATATCCTGTGAGCTGGGACTCTCGGAGAATAACGCACACACCACACAATTTATCTAAGACCCGGGAGCAGCCGGATATCTGCCAGGTTACCCTTCGTCATCTGCGGACCAGGACTTTGAAGCCGAGCACCCTTGCTCATCGTACGTTTAAGAAGATTGCTGTGCCGCCATAGACAATACTCAGGCCGTTTCATGGAAGCGGTGCGCGAGACAACGTAAAGACGCAAATTGAAGACTACATGGACGCAGTATCTATACAAACTGCTGCCACATTTCGCTATCCATCATAGCCCAGCCAGTCTGATACAGTTGCGGCATTCGAGACCTACGCCCTCATCCGTCTGGCATACATTCTTCCACAACCAGAACGCCAGATTGCTTTGCGCCA